CACCATTTAAATGGGGAAGGATGTAAGAAATTTTCTCTTTTCATACCGCATGCCCTGGTAGTGTTAAAAGCACGTCCAGTTAACAATCAGGAGGTCCGGGATTCGAATTCCGGGGAATGCATCGCTGATTTTTGTTTCCTACTCCGATAAATGAGTGTACAGATTTAAATAGAGGAAATTTAATTTAGTTATGTTAATATATTTTTTATTTTAAGTATTCTGAGACGCGAATTATGCAGCTCTGGAAATAAACTGCTTCAAAAAATTTGATAATGTGTGCCATCCTTTATTACAAATTAATTTCTTTGAAGAGTAAAAGGTCCTCTTGGAACTAAATTCAAATGAATATTTTTAAAACCGTTCAATCTGAACAGTGTTACACTAATTTAAGTCATGTGAAAGGAGAAAGATTTCGGATTTAGCTCATGGTGTGCTATTCAGATTACTTAATTGTCTTTCTTGCATAATACCTTCAATATATAAAGAGCATATGTATGCGCATGCGCCTACTTCACTTCCTTCTTTTTTTTCAGGGGGGGGGTAAAACATTTCTTTGTCGTCTTATAATGAAGTCAAAATAGTTTTAATATGCAATACGAGGGAGGTTATTTGAAGGAGGTTAAAGAAAATATAGCGAACTGTTTAACAGGTTAACATCTTATAGTCACAACTATTAAGCTTGAGGATAACTCCTGATACTTCATCGCTGTAAGTACGCAAGATTTACGAAACGTTCGATAATGATACGCAACTAGTCGTTGGAGTGAGCGTGACCAGCTATTTATTTTCAAAGGCGATTACGGACTTATCTCAACGGAATCGCAGATCATTAAATTTACGATGCGTGCTGAAAGACGTTCAGGCTTACTCTCGCAGAATTAATTGTTGAGTTATTTATTATGATTCATGAAATTAATCACGCAAATCCAAAGAATTCTGCACAAATTTCGCATTTCATTCAAGTTATGTTAAAGTGATAGTTTCTAATCTGATGAACAATTTATTGGCTAACTCCATAGTCTTTTACATTTCCTTTAATTATTAGTTTTGTTAGCAAAATTCCGTTATTCAACACTCTTAACCCTTTTTGCATGTTTTAAAAAACATTACTACATGCTACGTCTTTCCAATCTTAGAGGAATAATAATAATAAGAGTGCAGAAATAATCTGTAATTATCACTTTAATATTAAAGACAGCTTATATGTAGCCAGACATAAAAGTACAGTTTCTAATGAACTAGAATGACTGATGCGTTTATTACGTGATAAGAAGCAGGTTAAAGAAGGAAATTCAGACTGATATAAAACTCCGCCTACAGCAATTACTAGAAAAGTCTACCGTCAGCGACTGATACACGTTATATCATCGGACATTTCTGAAAACACATCTAAAAGCTCTTCATATGGGAATGTAACAGGACGAGTAAAGGAAAATATTTTTAAGCTGCGTAAGTAAAAAACGAATGTACATCAGTTGCTTGCGAACATTAGCCAGATTTTTAAGTATAATTTAAATGACAATAATAATACACATAAATATATGTATTAGTATTATCAAATATATATATTAATATATCAAATATATGTATTAATATTATCAAATATATGTATTACTATTATCAATTCCATATATATATATGTCATGATATGAATAATTTGGTACTTGGTGGTAATGTAAGAAATGCCTAGGGAACAAACTTAGCAAGACAGATATGGCCGGATTCAAGATAATTTTATTAATAGGGAAAGCAATTCTGGATTCGCAATATTTAGTTCACATACGGACGGGCGTTTTATGCGCCCTACATTTTTGTTAGATCAGCACATAAACAGTGAACAAAGAAAGTAGCCGCAAAGCGTCTTGCCAAGAGGAAAGCTTAAGCGAAAGTGTCGCAGCAATTCAGAGGAAGAAGGGAGGGAGTCAAAAAGTTTCAGTCCAGTTAAAAACGTTTTAGTTTACAATTATTTAGTGACTGGACAAGGGGTATCCGCATTAAGAGCTACGTAGGATCGCATGATTAATTTGAATGACGCAGTTTAGACTTATAGCGCTATTTTTAAGATAGCGAGAGGAAGTCCCCAAATTAAATAAAAATAAAATAGGTTATAGCCAATTAAAATCAGAAGTTTGCTTTCATATTTTTTATCTTACACACACACATATATATATATATATTGTAAGCTTTATCCTAAGTTTTTAACAGTTATCTTGAGCTAAAGCTACTTTTCTATCCTTCTTAAGCCCTCAATTTCCTACCAGAACGTGTTTTTAGAATCGCGGTTCATGCAAATGAGTAAGAGCGGTATTTAAGTCGAACTTCCATTGAATTCGTTAGACAGCCAGAGATTCTGACTAGCGCGCGTTTGCCTTTTGGCTACACACTTTCTAAGCTATTATTACGCTCGGCCGCATTTCAGGCTCTTGATAGCTTCGCCAGTCTATTTGATATTTAGGGACCAACTACTTAAAATTTTGATAGCTTCGGCTATATCTTTTTAGCTAAGCATTAGTTAAGTTTTATTTCTTTGATTTCCCAAGTGGAGGCTTTGGTGTACGCTCTCAAAAAGGAGCCGAGTATTCAAATCTTATTTTGAGAAATAAAGGGTAATTAACCCTACTTCAATTTTACGTATTTATTTCTGAACTAAAGCGAATATTCGCTTACCTGCTCACGAGGTTTCTACACATTTAGCTGTAAGATAACAGGTTTGAACCCCCCCCCAATATATATGTGTGTGTGTAAAATTTAAAATTAAACTTAATTTGAACCAACTGGCAATAGATCTTTAAATTCATAAATTTTAATTGAAAACATCTCTGCTTCAAGAATATTCTTTGCACCGTTTTGGTCACTCTGCAGCATATTGCGTCACTTTTTCCAGTAATTTCTTTGCGCTGCAAAATTTTTAGACCAGTCGCTGTTCAGGATTAAAACAAAACATTTCCGAGCTATAGATACGACTGCAGTTAGTATGCATCACATTTTTGCCTGCTTGCTCTGCGTAGGAAAGTTACGTCTCTTTGCTGTAAGCTTCGTTTTCTATTGTCTAAAATGTAAACTGCGTATATGGAAATTGTGGGGCACTTTTAGCATCTCTAGTGTGATACTAATTTAATCAAAAATGCATTTCTGAAAATTTTCGCTGTTCAAAATAAAAATGGCATGTTTTAACGATCAAGCCAGTTGGGATCTACCCTCGAGTCATGTACGTGGCAGTTTTTCCGGACTATGACTAAGGAGTGAATTGATTTCCTCTTCCGCAAATCTACAACATCACATATTTAATAAGATATAGAAAATATGACGAAAATTGAATGAAAACTTAATTAAAAAAATTGACAATAGAGGTTTAAATTAATAATTTTTAATTAAAGCATAACGCCTTCTAGGAATCCTGCAGTATCTGCATTGCTTTTGCCCATTCGCTATCCAGGACTAAAACAAAAAATTTCTAAGCTTATAAAAATAGTGTTGCAACTAACTACGAGTCCTCTTTTGTTGCCTACGTTTGCTAACTAAAGGACTTCTCTTGTTTGACTACTTCTGTTGATTGTTAAAATGTAATATATTATAAAATTATGAGCTGCAGATTGTCTCCATTGTGATGAAGTATGCCATAAAATAATCAAGAAATAATAAAAAATATGCTTGGATTATCAAGAGAATTTTGTAATTCTTCAAAGGTTCCCGGCATCTTCTACTACGTAATCGATATTTCAGTGATTTTCTAAAGCAAAATCTGTATACTCAGTTGACGTTCTAGAAGCATCCCCCCCCCAGATAACGGTCCTAATATTACGGCTGAACCATTATGCCAAAAGAACTGCAATCTGCAACTCCATGCCAATGCAATGATAGTAGTACGGATCGCCCTTCAATAGAAGAAAATAAAGATTACATCAATTCCATCTTTAAAAAGTGCGTTAGTGTCCAAAATACAAAGAAGAAGAACAAGCCCCTGATCACAAAAAATGTAATTGAGAAAATTTTTGTCTAGATACGCCTCCAAAATGTCAAAAAGAGTTAGAGAAACTCTTCTGACTCGGAATTGAAATTAAAGAAAATCACTGAAATTCAACGGGGAGGCATAACAGTCTTCTGTGAAAATCAGGAGGAAGTCAGGAAACTTCATGAGTCTGGATAAAATTCAAGACATCCAAGAAAAATTTAATAAGAGAATTCTCCAGAGAAGAACGCCAAAGTGCGCATTTAATAGCATCCCTTGTGAGACAAGAAGAAATTTCGCGGAGCAAAAACGATTTTACTTTACACCTCACTGTCACTGGCTCCGACATAGCAATGTGAATACTCTACATCTAAAATTTTAAACACCATTCCAGAATTTTAAATGTTTATTTTATAGAATTATATTCATATATTTGCAAGCTATACACTATAAACACAATAACAAAAATTTGAACTTATCTGCACCAGCGTGAATAAGCCTGGCATAATATTCTGAACTCGACGCAACTTTAGAAGGTAAAATACCGCAAATTCAAACACAAGGTTTCATCCTTTTCAACGCAGCTAATTTTCTAAATATATTTTACTAATATCCGCAGCGGGGCAGCGGATTCCATTTCATTCACCCAAAACTCAAATTTTGTAACGCAATAGTATCGCAAAAGACGCAAAAAAACATCGACTCAAAATCAAAATTAAAAATCTATAGAATATCATCCGCTGTTGCCATTCCAGCACTGCCAAGTTTTTCTTCCTGCAGCTGTTGCCAGACTTATCCTCGCTGTATGTGAGAGTTACAACATCCTCCCACCCTGATTTTCTCAAAATCAGACATTGCACAAAATTTTCTAACATTACGAATAAAACAAAACAGTACTATGTATTAGTTTAGAAAACACATAAAAGAAACTCGGTTAACATACAATATATATGACAGATCATACTAAAATGAGATCAATAAAGAATAAACTTCTAATTTAAGTCATTGCTAAAGAAAAGAGGATATAAGTCCAAAAGGTCTATATTGTACATTAGTAAGAGCATGTCCTTGGTTTTAAGAGTCTACCGTATCTAGATCTGTTTCCAGTTGACAGAGTTAGCACAGGATCACTGGTAGTTGAAACTTCTAGTGGATACAGTTTTTTGATTGTTCTTACCAAATATCCACTGTTTGTTTTTACCTGTACCACTCTGGTAGCCCCATCTCTACTACTGAATATTTTTACAATTTTGCCCATTGGCCACATTACACGTTTTTTATTGTCTAGTTCTATGAGGACTACGTCCCCCACCTTTAGGTTTTGACATGAAGCGCTTGCCTTCTGCACCAGTTGAGCCAGATATTCCTTGCGGAAGCGACTTCTCAGTTCTTGTCTCAACGTATTGCAGTAATTTACACGCACATTCAGTTTCTGGGAATCGATGTAATCCAGATCTGGTACCCCCACTTGTTTTATGTCTTGCAAAAACAGGGAAGGTGTCAGAGGTACGAGCTCTTCCGAATCATCATAGATGTATGTTAAAGGACGGTTGTTTAATGTGGATTCAACATCACACAGGACGGTCAGTAACTCCTCGAAATTCACCGACGATCTCCCTAGAATTCGCACGAGAAGAGTCTTGATGGAATGAACTAAGCGCTCCCACCATCCCCTCCACCACGCAGCCGTAGGGGGGTGAATTTCCATTTTATTGGAAAACATTCGTTTTCTGTGATTTTTCTCCAATCCAGGCATCTCAGAGCAATGTCTGCTCCGGTAAAATTGGTTCCGTTATCTGAATACACTGTCACAGGACGGCCTCGTCTGGCAATGAAACGTCTCAGAGCCTGTAGAAACGTTTCGGTACTCAGAGAGGTGATAGGCTCCAGGTGAATTGCCCGGTATACGGCGCAGGTGAACAAGACGATCCAAGCTTCACTCTTTGGTCTCAGAAGTAAAGGTCCACAAAGATCGACTCCAGTTGTTTCAAAGACTGCCGAATCTCTTATTCTGTCAAGGGGTAACTGGATCGGAGGGGTAGATAAAGCCTTAGCGGTAAATCTCCTACATACTACACATCGACTTACGCAAGATCTTATATTACGTTTCGACGAAATGATCCAGTATCGCTCTCTTAACTTAGCAGCTAATATCTGCACTCCCGCATGACAGTTCTTTTCATGATACTCTCTTATGAGGCATTCAGTTAAATAATGCTTGGACGGAAGCAACAGGGGATAAAGGAAGCAGAATTCATCATCACGTTCAATGATTTTAGTTTTAACTCTGAGGACTCCGTCGTTGTCTCTCACTACCAATAATCCATGGACGGAATCTCCTTTCTCTTGAAAGTGCTTCCTTTGCTCTAAACTCCACAAAAATGTTTCGGCGTTAGTTTTTTTTCTTCTACTGTTAAGGTATCCGGAGAATACGAGGGCTTCTTTAGGAGTTTATTAGTAAAGCGTAGAACCCAGCAGAATACTCGAACTATTTTAGAAAAACTCGAAAAACGTTTGTACCACTCAGAATCTTCTAATTTTATACTCAAATTGACAATTACTCCCTTCTTAATTTCTGCTGCTGCAACAGAATTTTCGTCTGGAGTAAACTCAAAGTCTGGCCATTCTTTCGGAGAGCTTTTCAGAAATTCGGGGCCCTCCCACCAATTGCATTGCCGGCAAATGTTCAGGCGTACAGCCACGAGATGCCACATCTGCCGGATTCAATTTCCCAGGGATATGTCTCCAACATTCCTGCTTCGAGAGTTTCCGAATCTCCTTTACTCTATTATTCACAAATACTCCCCAGTTTTCCTCTCGTTGTATCCAGCTAAGAGCCACAGTAGCGTCTGTCCAGTAATATATCGGGACATCGACTAAGCACAGGGTTTCAACAGTATACCTTGCCAAGCGTTCACCCAGAACAGGCTAGAAACTCCAAACGCGGAATAGTTACTTCCTTTAAGGGCGATACGCGTGATTTTGCTATAACGAATTTCACGAAAACTTTGTCTTTTTCCTTACTTCGTAAGTAAATGACAGTTGCATAAGCGGCTTGACTGGCATCGCAAAAGAAGTGTAGAGTCCATGAATCCTTAAATCCTTAATTCCATGACCCATGCAACGATACCTCGTTGCATGGGTAACTCGTTGCATAACTTTAAGGCGGGAACGACTAGGCAACCTTTCGTACCATCTCTCAAATCTTGTTTGAAGTTCATCTGGTAATGGCTTATCCCAGTTCGATTTTGTTGCCCAAGCCTCTTGAAGAATTAATTTCGCAGGTAATATGACGGGCACAAAGAAACCTAGCGGGTCAAAAACAGCATGGATTAGAGACAATAGTCTCCTTTTTGATAAGTCTCTTTTAACGATTTCTCTTTGGACGGATATTGTAAGGCTGTCATCTCGTCGGTCCCACTGCAAGCCTAGAACTGCGGAGACTGGATCACTATCTTCAGCTGCTAGCTCTTGATCACCATATTGATTAAAAGTCCACATTCGAAGATCCATTTTGGCTTCTGCCATAATAGTAATCGACTGGCTCATAAAAACCTTTAGCTCTTCGTTATCATCGACTGACGTGACACAATTGTCAACATAAAATGATTTGGCAAGTTTATTCGCAACAGCTTTGAATTCAGGTGTGAAACGTGGGACAAATGAAATGAAATCACAGCTGCCAATAAATAGGGGCTACTAGTTAACCCCAAAAACAACCCTCTTGTGACGAAAACACTTCAATTCTATTATTTACCCACCACAAAAACTTTAAGTAATTTTGATCCTCACGCTCTACCTCAATCTGTAAAAAGGCCCGCCTAATATCGGATGTTACACACCAATTGCCTTTTCCCTAAACCGCATTAGAATGGCTGAGATTTCTTCTACAAGGTTTGGACCTTTTATCAAGCAATCATTTAGCGAAAGCGAACCAACGACTTTGCTCGACGCATCGAATACAGGCCTAATCTTGGTAGTGAGGCTACCTAATTTTATTACTGGATGGTGTGGTAAATAATGCCCTCCGTCATTCTTTACTGATTTTGGGACAATTTCTATGACATCTTCCGCTAGCCATTCGTTAAATACTGTACTATACTCATCAAATTTATTTAATTTTCTCAATTTTCTCGTAGTAGCAAAGAGCCTCTTTTCTGCAATATGCCAGTTAGAGGGAATATCAGGAGGGAATTTTAGAGCCCAAGGTAAACTCACGCAATATCTACCATCTCCGGTTCTGCGAAGGCCCCTAAGAAACTGCTCTTTCGCTGCTTGATCTTCTGCGACCCTGGAAATGCTTTGCGCATCATCTGCAATGCCGATAGTTTCTAACTTCCACATAAAGGAAGGTTCCATGTCTTGAATAAGAAGATTAGTTACTAACATAGATGGGGTACCCTCAAAACTTTGGATAATCGTTCCTTTCGATTCCCCGCACAGCGTCCATCCCAGTTTAGTATTTATGGCTGTCAAACCACCCTCAAGCTGAATTACTTCACCAGTAAGTATTTGCCCATAAATATCACTCCCTATGAGGATTTCTATTTCCGGGTGACCCTCACCGACATCTGAAATCCAAATTCTGTGTCTTTTTAATTCCTTCAATAACGGTCCTTTAGGTATGCGTGGTATGCCTCCACAAATGGTATTTTGATCCAGAAAACTAAATTGGTACACTTTGTTTTTCCCAACCGGGCTTAGACCTATAGAATATCTCTTGTGAATTTTTGACTCAGTCCTTGTTCCGCCAAATAACGCGTGAGTTAAAGTCTCAGAGGAAGTGCTTTTCAGATTTAAAGCTTCAACTGTGGATTGTAAAACGTAAGATCGTTGGGATCCACAATCCAAGAGGCACCTGACCACCTTCTTTACAGTGCCTACAACTATTTCAACCATTAACGTCATAAGAGTGACTTCATTCATACATAAGGGAGAGGACATTGTACTTTGTACCATTACTGACTCGTTTCGTTTTTCCTTATTGTCAGCATTGTTTTCTGATACCTCCGGGCATAAAATTATAGGGTGAGATCGCCTACACAAATAGCATTGAATAAACTGTGGACACTTCTTCGCAAAATGCCCTGGTTTAAGACAGCGGAGGCAGCATTTTAATTCTCTTAATTTGTCTAATCTTTCCTTTAAGCTCATCGATCGAGCTGTAAAACATTCTTTGCTTTCGTGAGATTTTCCGCAAAAAAACACATTTTTGTTCTTTGACAGCAACTAGACTTGCTGCGCTAGCGATTGGTTTTTTGGTCTTAACTTTTACATCTTTAGAATGTTCATTGCGCGAAGTAGAAGAAATTTCAAATCCAGACCTGGCTAGTTTAACTCTCTGCTCTCCTTCGACCTCTTTACGCAAAAATTCCAGGAGATTTGTGAGACGTGATCCTTCTTTACTGAACAAAACGCTTCTCTGCCATACTCGAAGCATCTCAGCAGACAGACAAGACTCGACCATGGGATATAACCAGGAAACATTAGTATCCAGGGCTAAGCCTAAAGACTCTAGAGATCTGAGATGGGATTCGATTTTGTCAAACAGTGACACTAGCGGCAACCGATCCTTCCCTTGTGAGCGTACATTTTGGATAATTAATTTTAACAATTCCCTCACATATATCTCAGTTAAAATTTCCTTGTTTCCAAAACGCTCCTCAAACGCAGAAATGGCTTTCGGGTAATTTTCAGCCGTTAAAGGATAACTATCTATCAACTCACTAGCCCGAGTTCCGGGTAACATTGATTGAGCTAAATAATGGAATTTGTCAACGTCATTAAGCTCCTTATCCTCATGGATCTTTTTAAATTGACCCCAAAATGTAAGGTAACTTAATAATTGTCCATCGAATTTTTTAATTTGAATTTTCGGCAACTTGTACCGTTTTTCATTAGAAGCACTTATGCTACTATCCGTGTTAGAACTCGTATTGACACTACGGTCAACCGCATTATCTATATTCTCTTTCACCCGACGATTAAGCGTGATAAACTCATCTGAATATTCTTCGCAGCCTATGACCTCTGTTTCCAGATCATCTTCAGCGGCTTTTCCCTTAATCATTGAATCTAGTATTTCTGAATCGCAAGATCTCAACTCAGCAATTATCATCTGCAACTTCAAAATTTTGTCTTTCAATACATCTCTATCCGCTTGAACATCTTTACAAAGTTCGGTTTTTAGAATCTTAGCCGTCCTAGTAAAGGCACTGCGTGCCGTTGCACGCTTTTTCTTCAACATATCAACATCCATTTTATCTTTAAATGCAGACCCACTTAAAACTCAAAATCTGTAATGTTATCATCAATCCGACAAATCCTCAAAAACGTCTTTACTCAGCAATTCCAAAAATATAACTCAATATAATAAAAATGAATAACAATATGTCATAACATTCATAATACAGCAAAACAAAATTATTTTGAATATCACAGCAGAAGACTTAACGCATAACTTTTTCTACGTTTACACTGCAGACGATTTAACGCATAGCATTTCGATTGAAAATTGAAACTAATTCGAATACAAAATACGAAATTCAACATTGCAGACGATAAAATGCATTACGTTTCCAAATAACATTTAAATTAATATATACTTCTACAATAATATAATATAGCAAACACAATACTTTCTCAACTAGTATATTAATATAATAATCCCAACACATTCGAATCAGGATCCCAATCCTGGCTGGCTCG